TTCATGTTTATCGCTCGATAGGTTGTCAAAAGAGTTAAATGTTGATAGATCCACTGTTGGAAAACGTCTACACGCAATGGGAATGGTGCAAAAAGAAGGAAATTGGGTGCCATACAAATTGAAAGAGAGAGACATGGAAAGACGTTTGGTCATCTGCGAGATGCTTCGTCAACAACAAAGGAAGGGTTTTCTATATCGTATCGTAACTGGCGATGAAAAATGGATCTACTACGATAAGCCTAAACGCTTGAAAGCATGGGTGATGCCAGATGAACCAGGCCCGTCAACGCCAAAACAAAATATCCGTGCTTCGAAGATTATGTTGTGCATCTGGTAGGATCAGAGAGGTGTTATATATTATGAGCACCGTCCGAAACCATCACTGGCGATCGTTATCGACTACAACTGATACGTTTAAACCAAGCTTTGAAAGAAAAACGACCGGAATGGGACAATAGGCACAACAAGCTGATTCTGTTACATGACAACGCTAGGCTGCACGTTGTGAAACCGGTCAATACTTGGAAAGAGTAAAGTGGGAAATTCTGCCCCACCCGTCGTATTCACCGGACATTGCTCCTTCAGATTTCTATTTGTTCCGATCCATGCAGTCGACCTTTTCTGGAGAACGATTCAATTCTTATGAAGATATCAAAAAATGGCTTGATGAATGGATCGCTTCAAAAGAACCAGATATTTTCATTCGAGGAATCCGTTTATTACCGGAAAAGTGGGAGAAAGTTGTCGCTTCCGAAGGAGCATACTTTGAATAAACTCACTTATATAGATTTGTTTAAATAAACACATCTTTTTCTTTTCAAAAAGGGCGGAAACTTATTCCCATACCCAATATATATCAAAACATAAAAATAAATAAAAGGCTAATTAGAGTTATATGCGCGGTTATTAATGCGAAAATAAAAATCGTTTATTATCGAAAAAATATATAATTAATTACGCATAGACGTTTCGGCTTGTCTTCGAGCCATCATCAGTCTAACCATTTGTTGTAAATCTCTCACTTCATGGCGAGACGGAAGATTGGTGACTCACAAGTAACACTACCCAAGTGCCACTCCGGGATTGACTTCTACCTATGCAGATTTTGTAAAGAATCGAAAAATATTTGATACGTATTTTTTTATTTCGGCAGACATGATGTTTTAAGGGCTGAAAATAGGGGTTGAAATATTAAATTTTTTAATAAACGGGTGTATTTCCGACTAATGCTGTTATGCGATCTAGCTGTAATTTGGTATATTTATGTATTTTGATGTGCTTATTACGAATATGATAAAAAAAAATTGTCGCCAAGGTCATTTTCAAGGTCAAAACTCAAAAAAAACCCTAAAAAATCGCCCAAAAATTTGTCATCAAATTTTGATTAAATTCTTACCAGAAGAGCAATTTCTAATATCTTATTCTCAAGTCAGTCACTTGTTTTCAACTCTAATATATTAATTTTAATGTACACGGAGAAAAAAAAACAAGTGAAATATAGTAGCAACTCATACACGTTTCATACAGTAGCAATTCATATACGTTAGGGTTTTTTGAGTTTTGACCTTGAAAATGACCTTGGCGACAATTTTTTTTATCATATTCGTAATAAGCACATCAAAATACATAAATATACCAAATTACAGCTAGATCGCATAACAGCATTATTCGGAAATACACCCGTTTATTAAAAAATTTAATATTTCAACCCCTATTTTCAGCCCTTAAAACATCATGTCTGCCGAAATAAAAAAATACGTATCAAATATTTTTCGATTCTTTACAAAATCTGCATAGGTAGAAGTCAATCCCGGAGTGGCACTTGGGTAGTGTTACTTGTCAGTCTCCTTATTCTATTGAGAAAGATTGACAGGTTCAGTGGCAATGAATAACAGATGAAAATCCGTATAGCCATAAAAGATGTGACATCAAAAAATAATTAAAATAACAAAATCCGCAGATTGTCCATATTGTGCGAAACAAATTCGATACAACGTTCTGATTATTACAACGGTTAACAATCGAGTGACAAATATATGTTTAATTGATACTTAAAAAATATCAAAATTTATTATGTCGATATAATAAATTTAAATATTATTTAAGTATCAATCAAGTATATATTTAAATATCAACGTGTTCTTTCTATACATATCAGTTATTGCGAAGAATATTTCCGAAGCCTCAGTGGTCGAGCTGGCTAAGACACTCTTCCCGGAAAGTTGAGAGGTCCCAGGTTCGAATCCTAGCTGAGGTAATATTTTTCGCAATAAATTTCTTACTTTCTTTTTAATTTAATTTAGGGGGGGATTATTAACGTTTCAAAATGATTGTGTTGAAACCGAATGTTATCCGCTCGCAATTATATCTGGAATAAATTTATTCAATAAAAGAATATATAAAATGTATTATTTGTAACATCCAAAATTTGACCGATCTTGGCTTTCTTTATCGTATTTAAATATCATTTTTGTAGTATTAGAAATAACTGAAACCTCTTTGGTAATATTTCAAAAAGATTGCAGATTCTTTCTATGACATTTCATCAACCTTTCAACAAGGTATCATGTGCAAGAATCGCAGACATTTTACTATTTCAGAGTTGTCTCAGAAATGCTGCAGACATATTTCGTAGTTTTTATTAAATATTTCACTTTTCAGTTGAAATATTTCTGAGATATTTCTGAAAACTTTCAGTATTGTATGGGTTGTGTATGTATGTATATGTAATGATCGTACGCGATAATTAAATAATAGAAACATCAGAACATTTACCCTTTTCCGACCCTGTTTCTTTTCTCTACGCAACTCTTTCTGTTCGTCACGTGCTTTTCCTTTACTGGAACGTTCTTTCTTATCAAGAACAGCATCCGCACGTCTTCCTTCCTGCTGAATATAAAAATATTTATACAAAGAGAAAAAAATGGAAAAAGATAAAAATATAAAAGCAAAATATATAGGTACCTTCTGGGTATTCTCTACTTTTCTTCTTTTTACATCTGAAACTAAAAAAAAATTTATACAAATATATGGGAGGACCATAAAAAATGTTTTTTAAAAATATTTATAACATTATTATATATAATTTGATATCATTTCTACAAAAACTTTTAATGTATGTATATTTATATATGTATAAAGAAAAGCCGCCTATTATGAGATAGTTGCGTTTTTGCTAAACTAATAAACGATATTTATTGGCTTCACGAATTTATTGTTCTTGGATTGAAAACTATTTAGTGAGCAATTCATTATTAGATCATGCCCGTAGTCATTGTAAAAAAGATTTTAGAATTTGGATGTCTTCAAGTTTCATTGAGATAAACCTTTAAACCTTGTTTCTTATTTAATAAATAAATATTTGGCAATAAATTCTTCATGTAGTGATAGAGTAAAATCTACTAATAGAAAAATACAGGATATGTTGAACTGTTTAATTACAAAAAATTAGATTTGACGATCGTAAAACTGTAGGCATGGAAATATAAGATGAGATACTCAAGGTATTTCTAATATGAAATAACCTATGCACCTATGTTATAGTGAAAATTGTTGTTTAAGTATAAATGTTATTGTACAATAATAAAAAGAACAGTGTCTATTTCTGCGATGCTTGGTTCCAATTATCTGAAAACAAATTCTGAGTATAATCCATCGCATGCTCATTTTTCGCGCACGCCATGTTTGTTTGTATTTTAGAAATAAAGTTTTACAATACTGATATACTTCGGACGAATGCGCGTATTCGGCTATCTTTAAACGTTAATATCTCGTTAACTACTGTGCAAACTGCAAAATGGTAGAAGATTTTTCGACAGTATTCATTATTTATAAATAATTTGATACCTGCCTATTGATTTATTGATTTATTAATATGAACAATTAGAATAAAATTTTATTCGGGGAAATATATAGTAAGCGCAAGGAATCCCATGGCGTGCTACATTCTTGCGTACTCCGGCTGCGCGCTGTCTGATTGATCAATTTAAATTGTTAATAACTCGATAAATAATGGTCTGAGTCAAAAGTGGGAAAGAAACTTTTAATTCAAAATTTCATCCTTTTTCACTCCCTGAATTATTAATTAATAAGAGTTATGAGACATATCCCCTATATATACAGTCGAACCTCCGTAAAAGTAACTTGTCGGGACCGACCGACCTCCGTAAAAGTAAAAAGTCCGCCTATATCCCCACTTTTTCAATGGCGCTTGCGTAAAATATCTCTTCCCGCGAAACAGCACTATCCAATGCAGTAATCTTTACGACATAACCTTAATATCAAAACAAGCAAGTGCATCTGTATGATTCAAATGGAAAGTACCAACTGTGTTGAACATTTACTATGTTTACATTTGTGTAATCGGGCCTTATTGGTTAGAATTATTTTCACATGCCATGCGCATGCGCTAGCGTATGTGGTAGAGGAAGTTTCGTAGAGGTATACGTATAAAAGATTGAGACATGATTTTTACGGAGGTTAAAATAATAACGGAGGTTAACTTTACAGAGATTCGACTGTAAATCAAATAAATCAATAAATAAAGTAAGTATTAACAAATTATTTACAAATAATTTATTGATAATATTTTTTTCCAGTAATCCTCTTTTAATATCCATAATAAACATCCCATAATTAGTTTTTCCTCATCGTTAGGGTAGTTATAAAAATAAAATAAGTAAATTGAACAAATGGATCAAGTAATTGAATTAAACAAATAAATATGTAAATAATAAATAAGAATAAAAACGGTAAAACTACTGAAAAGGGCAGCAACCGCCGACGACTTTGATCTTGACATATGTTGTCAAGATCATGACTCTGAGTAACCTCCACAAGTTTTAGCAGCCGCTCGTTATTCGTTAAAAAGTTATTAACAAAAGAAGTTAAAAAAAATATCGTTTTATTAGGTTGTTTTCACGCGAAGCAACTCCCATCCCACCTCCCCCTGTTTGGGGGCGCACGACTTCCACGCGAAGCGACTTTCGAAGTCGTGATCCTGAGTGATCTCCAACAAGACTTCGAAAGTTGCTTCATGTGGAAGTAGTACGCCCCTAAGCAGGGGTGAGGTGGGGTGAGAGTCGCTTCACGTGAAAGTCGTGCGCCCCCAAGCAGGAGAAGAGGTGGGATGGGAATCGCTTCGCGTGGAAGTCGTGCGCCACCAAGCAGGGGGGGAGGCAGGGTGGGAGTTGCTTTGTGTGGAAAATCATTACGTAAGGAAGGGTATAGGATAGTTCTTAATATTATATATAGCAGAAAAAAACGTTATTTTTTCAAACTTTTTTTGTTAATAACTTTTTAATGAATAACGAGCTACAGCTAAAACTTGTTAGAGGTTGCTCAGTGTCACGATCTTGACAATATATATCAAGGTCAAGGTCATCGGCGGTCGCTCTCCTTTTCTGCAGTTTTACATAAAAAAACAATCAGAAATTAGATAAATTTCTAATTTTTTGTAATTTATTTTTACTTATTTTTTTTATTTATCGTCCGTTCATTTATTTATTTATTTATTTATCTACCTATTAATATAATATTTATATAACATTTTTCTGTACGTACACGCGTACGCGCTTTAGAGAGAATTAAACTGAGTTTTCGAAAAGTTCTTGCCTGACTTTCGTAATCGAGATATTAATTTCTAAAGCACTGAATATTCGCCATTGATAGCTTGCCATGCGGAGAGTGGAGACTGGCAAGCGCCCCGCGGCGCGCACACCGTCGTGAGTCTCTAAACGTTGTATCTCGGACGGTGCACTTGCCAAGCCATCCCTGCTCCTCGCAGCCCGCGCGCCAAGCGATCGATACTCGGTAGGCGTACACTTGATAGTAGTAGGCCGAGCGGGCGCGCGTATTCAGCTATCTTCAAAAATTAATGGCGCATGGCGTTATTCGTCTATGTAATATACCTCTATATTTTATAATTTTTAGTAGTATATTGACTGTTGGACGGGGCCCCTCCTTGCTGGTTATAATTATTTATTTGTCCAGTTTTACCTATGTAAATATTATTGATTTTAGCTTTGCTTATTCTTTTATCTTTCTTTATCTTTCTTCTCTTTCTTTTTTCTTTTATCTTTCTATGTACTCTTGTACTTTTCTTTTTTTACCTTTTTTTATTCTTTTTTTATATTCTATCTCATACTTTTCTGTTTGTGGGACCCTGACAGTTCGAGTGTGCTTGCCGTGAATAATTGTATTTTATGTGAGTGTAAATGTGCCCGATCTACACTTTTAATTTTATTAATATATTTTGTATTGCCGCGCGCGCTCCTCCGGGACTTTTATATTTCTGACGACACTACTGTGATATCCCGGAGGAGCATGATGTCTGCGATAACGTATCTCCCCAGCACGCGAACTTGGGGGATGAAATATTGTGATATGTTGCGCAGGCTGAGGAAAGTGTCCCTCAGCCTTGTAGCTTTAGTGCCCATTAGAGATCCTCTAATCAGAGTCGCGACACGAGAACAGCCAATTTTGATTGGTTCGTCATTTTTCAGCAATTCTCGCCAATATTCGAATGTCAATATTGGCTGCGTTCGGGAACGTCGCTCGGATTCATCATCTATCCTTATTTAACATTTAATATTAAACAAGGACGGATGATAAATCCGAGGCATCGGAGGCATCCGAGCAACGTTTCCGAATGTAGCCATTGTAGGAATAGGCGATGTGCGTATAGATACGTTAAAAATCGTTTGCAAACTAATCTATTTTGTAAAGAATCAATTTTTCCAACCAAAACAAGCATAGAATGACAGAAATAGCGTTAATAGCATCTCCCTGAACGCACATTTTTTCCAACATTTGTCGCCCATAATGCTCGACGTTCAACATCACGCGGAAATATTTTCATTATGTAGCCTTTGGCTGCAGAATTATTGCAAAATGGGGCTGCACATCCAACCATTTTGCAATAATTTTTAATAATGTTCTAAAAGTCATACTATAGAAAGACGTATCTTACGGGATCATGACTCACACAAGAACTATAAAGGTTAGAAAGAGACACAACATATTCCTCTCTCTTTCTTGTGATTTTGCTGAAACTAGAGACTTTTAATATAAAGAGACCGTAAAAGAGTGTCTCTAACTAGAGTCTTCCTTTCTCGTGTCGCGACTCTGATTAGAGGGTTTCTAGTGCCCATACGGAGGGAGGGGGGGTTCTATCCACCGCAATGATATATGCAGGATATTTAGTTTTAAGGGATATGGTCGATTATCTCACGAATCGATGATTTTATTGAAAAATTTTTCGAAAGTTGCATGGCTTGAAGGGGGACACATGATGGAAATGTGGACTTGACCTTGAGTGACCTTGTCAAAATCAAGTCAAGGTCATTAATGTTTTTTTTAAATGAAAACCTCTATTTTTTATTACATATTCTTGTAGCTTATCTCGAGAGCTTTCCAAAACACTATAACAAAGTTACGTTGCATTGACTACTTTCCGAGTTATGGAGCTTGAAAGTTACTGCCGACGTTATCCATGTACGCATGCGCATATGAGCCGGATTTTTACGCGCGCGCGTCTCCGCGATCTATTCACACTGCTTGACATACGCTCACGTATACGAAATTGAGTCCAATCCTTCCCAACTGAACGATTCAACTTTCCTCTTTTTTTCGTATAATTTTTTCTTTCAATTTTTTTACATTAGTGGGCTTTTTCAAAACTTTTTTCAAAATTTTCGCTTACAGTTCAAATAAAATCGTTGATATTATTCTTGTGCTTGGTGAAGCTGGACGAAATTATTGTAGAGCAGAAAGATTGTATCATAATAGATATCCGTTTAGACAACATCCAAATGCAATGCAGATAAGAATTTTATTACGAGAGTGATAGAACAATGCGTAAGAGAAACCGCAAGCAAATAAATGCTGAAGACGACATTAATGATCCGCGTGTATTAACAGTGCTAGCAATGATAAACGAATCCTCATATTTCGACTAGAGAACTGCAACGTAATTTAGGAATTCCTTACTATATCACTGTGCGGAGGATTTTACAAAGACATAAATTCCATCCCTACCACATCACTTTAACCCAAGATGTAAGTGAAAATGATATGAGACTAAGAAGACAATTTTGTCGTTGGACATTACGAATGATAAAAGAAGATCCAATTTTTTTCCAATATGTTTTCTTCAGTGATAAAACCTAATTTCATAACAATGGACAACTCAACAGGCATAACTGTCATTATTGGTCCACATACAATCCTCACTGGACCAACGTGTTGATAATCAATATCGTTGGAGTTTAAACACTTGGTGCGGAATTGTAAATAGATATTTGATTGGTCCATACTTTTTTGATAACCGCTTAAATGGGAAAATTTACCTTTCTTTCTTGCAGAATAAATTGCTTGAGCTTTTAGAAGAGGTTGATCTTGCTACTCGACAAAAAATGTGGTGGCAGCAAGATGGTGCGCCACCCCATTCTCATCGTATTGTGAATACCTCAATAACATCTTTCAGGAAAGATGGATAGGGAGGTATGGATATATTTGATGGCTTCCGCGGTCTCCTGATTTAATTTTGTGTGATTTTTGTGGGGCTACGTAAAAAATATTGTTTACAAAACTCCGCCGACATCTGTACGAGACACAGATTTTCTGTACGAAAAATCAAATAACTAATGTTTGTCGTAGCATTCCTCAAAATATTTTAATTTCAACAGTAGAAAATTTTGAGAAACGGTTGAGGCTATGTCTGCAAGAAAATGGAGCTCCATTTGAACATCTTATCAACGGCTAGAGACATATTCAAATTGATCTTGCCTTAATCGACCGGATCAGTGATCGGTCTTGCCTTAGTTGGCCGGATCAGTGATCGGTCTTGTCTTAGTTGGCCCGATCAGTGATCGGTCTTGCTTTAATCGGCCGGATCAGTGATCGGTCTTGCCTTAGTTGTCTGGATCAGTGATCGGTCTTGCATTAATCGGCTGGACCAGTGATCGGACTTGCCTTAGTTGGTCGGATCAGTGATCGGTCTTGCCTTAGTTGGCCGGATCAATGATCGGTCTTGCCTTAGTTGACCGGATCAGTCCCGATCTTGCCTTAATCGGCTGGATCAGTGATCGGTCTTGCCTTATAACTTAACAAGTACTTAACGAAAAGTAATTTTATCGTAGTATTTTGTAAAGCTCTCGAGATAAGCTACAAGAATATGTAATAAAAAATAGGGGTTTCCACTTAAAAAAACATTAATAACCTTGACTTGATTTTGACAAGGTCACTAAAGGTCAAGTCCACATTTCCATCATATGTCTCCTTTCAAGCCATGCAACTTTCGTTCAAAAAATTTTTCAATAAAATCATCGATTCGCGAGATAATCGACCATGTCACTTAAAAAAATACACCCTGTATATTTCGGCGCGCGGCCTAGCTGCTTTATATTGTATGATTCTAGGGGAAAGATATCCCCATGGGGAACCTCTTTGATAAATAAAAGACAATATCTTGTTAATTATTAGGAAAGTTGCAAAATAGAAGATTTTTCGACTTATTGTTAGTTTAGTCCACTCTACCTGCCCATTAAATATTTGGCAATTATTCTGGGATACGGTGTTTTGTATGCGCGTGTGCGTGTAATTAATGTGTGTAACATATAAATAAAACAAATAATCAAACTTTCGAAAATGTCAAAATAAAGAACAAATAAGGACTAATGAAAGTTTTTTACGCGGTTGTTAATGCGGAATAAAAAATCGTTTATTGTCGAACTATAACATAAATTAGTTACGCATAAACGTTTCGGCCTGCTTTCGAGTCATCATCAGTATGTTTGAACGTATAATGTGAATTCTCACTTCTTCATGTCATATATTTGAAATTTACACTGAGGGCGGAATCCATAGACGTTGCTGAAGATTCGAGATGGTTTTAAGCTAGTACTTAAGATGTCATGAACCAATCAGAGACTGGTATTCATAGTCGATTCTTATTTCAAGACCGTCTTAAGTAATGTCTTAATATATGCTAATGCAGCCCTCTGACTGGTCAAAGGCCGGTATTCATAGTCAGATCTTATATTCAAGACCGTCTTAAGTACAGTCTTAAGAAGTCACGAATCAATCAGAGGGCTGCATTAGCGTCTTAAGACATTACTTAAGACGGTCTTGAAATAAGAACCGACTATGAATACCGGCCAAAGAGCTGTATTACCATCTTAAGATATTGCTTAAGATGATCTTGAGATGAAGAACGGACTGTGGATTCCAGCCTGAAACTTTATAATAGTGCGCAATTCAGAGATCTGAAGTACACTACAACGAGATTACCTCTACTTCACTCCGAAACAATGAAAATCAAGATTTTAGTGGTTACTGCTATTTCCCGCTCACGCTTTAAGGTTCGCTATTACGAGGTTCCAGTATAATTTCATTATATTATAGTACAAACCTCTTTCAGGACCTTCTTGTATGGGACCCGAACTAGCACTGCTATTTGACACACTTGAAAGATCTCGGTCTAAATTGTCTACACTACTGCTATAATAGTGCTCTTCCTAAAATATAAAATTTGCATTTTCTTGTAATTATAACATATCAGTATATAATATTCATGTACCATCATAATGTATATCAAATCTTTTTCTATTTCGAATATTGAATCAAATTATGAGACAATAATAGCATACACAAATTTTAAAATTTCGGTTACAACAGCATGATACACAAAGCTATTTGACGAATTTTATAAGAAAACTTTTACGATTATACTCTTATTGAAATTTTTTGTTCAAAATAGCATTTATTAAATTCCCATCTAATATTTTTTTTATTTTGATAGACTCTACGTAAAAAACAAAATCTTAACATAATTGTTACCTTATAATATTTGCGATCCTTTTTATCTAATCCCTCATCATCTTTTATTTCTTCTTTTTTTACATATTTTTCTTTTACTTCTGAAACGTCCTTACTGTCTTCTTTCTTTCTGAACTTTTCAGAGTTTTCACTATTCAAAGAATTAATATCGAATTACTAAGAGATTTTTAATACAGAAATTTAAAAATTAATTCTATACTTATATATTAATCTTATTATATCCTTATATCTTTTATTAAATTACCATATAATTTTCTATTAAAAAAAAAAATAAAATATAAAAAGGTATAAGTTCTAACAAGTAACTCCAATAATACGATGCAGTAAATATATATAAATGTTTTAAACTGTATTGCTCACTGATGCGTTTGACTGGAGGAACTCCGTTTGTCTCGTTGCTCCTTGTTTTCCTTTTCTGGCCGAGTGTCTCCATTATTATTTTCTTTCACCGTTACTCCATTGCTAACTTTTTCACTTGTTTCATTATTCGTTGTGTCTTGTGTCTTAGCAGCCTATACAAATAAATATAATAAAACTTATAACTTTCTCAAATACTTTTGAAACAAAATCCCCCCCACTATCTTTCCCTCCCTCCCACTCCCTTCCATCTCTCTCCCCCCCCCTCTCTCTGCTTTACATAAAAATGAATTCAATAAAAATGATCTTAATAAATGTTATCTAGGACATGATCTTGAATAACATACAAGAGGTTTTAGCCGTCGGTCGGACACCTTGAGTAATGTTAATGCCGACAGTACTGTAACTTTCAAGCCTTATAACTCGCAAAATACTTAATGAAAATAGTACATTGTGCGCTCGCCTTCGGCTCGTGCGACCACTCCGCACTCGTCGCAACAGCCAACTTCTCACACTTGTCGCACATACTATTTTTCATTACACGTGCGTGGACGTCTGTGAAGCTGGCCCCTCAATGTCCAAATTTTGAAAAAATAAGACGAGTTCTGATTGCTCCCCGAAGAGTTCTAGAATTCTATAACACAATAAGAAAGAGTTCCATTTATTAAAGCAGTTAAAACACCATTTGAAGTAACGGGGGGACTAAGGTAATCGTGGAACTTCACGATTCTGCAATTTTGAAGGGCTATAACTTCTAAACCGTTCATTTTAGCACGTTGATCTATAGAGGACAATCGATAATACGTTGATCTATACAGGACAATCGATAGAACTCTTTGGGGGGCTATCAGAACTCTCAACAAAATAAGAGAATTCCAAAATTTTTTTCAAAAAAATTATATAAAAAAAAAATTTTTTTTTTATTGGAAATTCAACATTATGACACGAATTCTGGAAGCCCCCCGAAGAGTTCTAACGATTATCCTTCACAACAGTTGCTCTGAAATCAATATCTAAAAAGTTCTAGTACTTTAAAGTTTCAGATTTTGAATTTTTCCAAGTCCACAATGGTAAAAAATTTTTTACGGAAATCCTGTGTTTTCTTGAGAGTTCTGATAGCCCCCCGAAGCCGAAGAGTTCTAACGATTATTCTTAACAACCGATGCGATAAAATCAATGTCTATTTCGGTCGAATGTACATGCGAGTGTGTCATTAGAAGTAAGGACTATTCTTTATTTATTATTTAGTGTCTCCAAACCTTCTCGGATGTATGTGTATCACAGCAGAGATGAGAACTCCAAGGTTCGCCACTTCCGTAGTATTTAGTGACTCCAAACCCTCTCTTTTGTGTGTGTGTGTGTGTGTGTGTGTGTGTGTGTGCGCGCGCGCGCGCGCGCGTGCTTTCTTTCTAAGAAGAAAAATTTTTGCAATTGTGATGTTTTTCGAGTGAGCCGTTCCCCCCTTTTGTATATATCCACTGATACTACAGTTTAATGCCGGATCCGAACGGCGAATTCAGAAAGGGTTGTTATGGCGAAGTATTCTCGGTTTGCCGTTGCCTTCCGAGAGATGACGACCAAGATCTTTGTATTTTCTATAAGCATGCTTCTATTATATATTATGTTTTACATAAAGTATCACATGTGGGCATATTGTTTCGTTTGAGTTTATTCTACATCGTTTCTTGGACAGATCGTCATATTTATACCAGTTTATTCCTGTGTATGTATATGCGACGTAATGTCCACTATTGTAGCCGCTACCAAGGTACGAGACGATGCCTGCCAAAGAATAGCTGTTACTGTTTATCGTAACCATTTCTGAGGATTTCGGAGAAAAAATAGCTTATTATCGATGCATCCTGCTTTGCAGATATCATTTGAAAGCTAGGGAAATTGCCAAGATCAGAAAAATGCATTCGTACAAAAATAAATGTGACGATGTGTCACCATTGGGAAGACGTAGTTTTTTTCCTATACTTCCGGTCTATAGCTAAAAAACACCTTTCATCTTCTTTATGAGCTCTTTTATACATAAGTAATTGTTCCTCAGTAAAATACATACAGAAAAAAGGATCAAATCCTATGTTATGTATAATTCGTTGAAATCGTGTGTATTTAGCCATTTGTATATTTTTTATGGGATCATTATTGCACAACTCCAGACGCTTGTCTGATTCCATTTGTTTAGCCTTACGTAAAACTGTTGCATCGTATAGAATTGATGGAACGCTGTCATCAAATGTGATCAGTCTATTGGCTTCTTTATTACGCCACTCATTAGCAGTTTTGTTTCCGTCTAGTAATTCACTAGCGATTTTTTCACGTAATGACCCTTTCAGTTGTCTTTTTTTTTTATGTATAATTTTCGTAGCAAAACCAGCAAGAATGCAGTCTAATACTACATCGCTCTTTTTTTGCGGATTTGTTATATAATATACCCGCAAGACGCGCGCCACATTCGTTACATGCTCCTTTAAATTTCGCGTAACATTTAGCATCACATATTAATAAAAACTTTAGCGCGTTTAAATGTGAATGCGCACGGCAACTTTGTTTGCTGCCATATCTTATCAGCAAATACATGCGTCCATTTTCCTGGCTGCAGCGACATATATTTTCGTCCGTTACGTCCGTATGTCTGTCGCGTAGGTTTAATTTGTGCTGATTTTTCTTCGGAAATTATTAATTGAAAACGTTTCACAGTTTCAGAAGTAGAAGTGTTATTTAAGTCAGTCAAATTAAACGAGCTGTCTTTTGAAATGTCTAATATATCTTTTTTGTCAATGCAAAATGCTTTTAATACGGTGCTGTACATAGTTTTTAAAATCGTATAAATATGTTTCGGACTAATATACGAATTATTATTTGCAAGCGTCTCAGATATTGAAGCGTAGACAGTATGAGATGGTGGGAAGATCTTCCTCCCATTATCAACGGTTTTAAATTCTTCGTTTATTAGAATATCTCTCAACTTTACTTCATCATACATGTTGGAAAAAAACTTTAGAAAAAAATTAAAAGGTAATATAATGAGAGAAAGAAGATATTTAACTTGAAAACTACTAATAGTAATTAGCTAGCGTTCATTGAAAGCTGCTATTTACTTTTTCGACGAATGAAAAATAGATAATCAGTAAGAATGAGAAATAAGATAAAGGAAATTTGTTAGGAAAATTTGTATAAAAATTTGTAGGGAGAAAGATCGAAATCAAAGGATGATGAATGCTCGTTGATTGATATCTCAAAACTCCAAAACTTTACTCCGAACGTTTCTCTTTATTATTATCTATTTCGCTGTTATTCTAAAAAGTCAAATGACATGCGACGATGCGACTGAGCGCGGCGAGCCGGCGACAGCGGTACACGTTTTGTGTGGCGACAGTCGTACCGGTGGCGGCGCTACGTGTCTTAACGGCCACCACCACGCCGGCATATTGGGTACTGCGCAGTCGCGTGCGCTTGACCGCTAACTTCATGCGGCGCTATCATGCGTCGTATCGTTAGAATTTTTCGGGGGGCTATCAGAACTCTCAAGAAAACACAGGATTTCCGTAAAAAATTTTTTACCAGTGTGGACTTGGAAAAATTCAAAATCTGAAACTTTAAAGTGCTAGAACTTTTTAGATATTGATTTTAGAGCAACTGTTGTGAAGGATAATCGTTAGAACTCTTCGGGGGGTTATCAGAATTCTCAAGAAATCGCCGGATTTCCGAAAAAAATTTTTTAAACCCATGGACTTAGAAAAATTTCAAAAATTGAAACTTCAAAGCCCTAGAACTTTTTAGATATCGGTTTCAGCGCATCGGTTATTAAGGATAATCGTTAGAACTCTTTGGGGGGCAAACAGAACTCTCAAGAAAATAATGGATTTCCAATAAAAATTTTTTACCATTGTGGACTTAGAAAAATTCAAAATCTAAAACTTTAAAGTGCTAGAACTTTTTAGATATTGATTTCAGAGCAACTATTGTGAAGGATAATCGTTAGAACTCTTCGGGGGGGCTTCCAGAATTCGTGTCATAATGTTGAATTTCCAATAAAAAAAAATATTTTTTTAAATAAAATTTTTTTGAAAAAAATTTTGGAATTCTCTTATTTTGTTGAGAGTTCTGATAGCCCCCCAAAGAGTTCTATCGATTGTCCTCTATAGATCAACGT